GTTCTCTTCAGCAGACTGCTGTTGCATGGCAGGTTTGGGTGATCTGTAGTCCTAGACTGTATGTAGGGTGAAGATGCCTTCACTGTACATGCAGGGTGTTCTAGGATTTGCTTCTCTTTGCACACCTAAACATGTCTAGTGAATATTTTGACATATGTGCAGCCTTGGTAAACCATTACCTGAAAAAAGACCATAAAATTGTGTTTCTTACTGTCTGACTTTTAAAAACTAGTCACAGGTGATGTTTCAGTGTATATAAGGGCATCAGCTATCAAGATTGGGCTTTCCCTTGAAATCTGTAGTACAAATTTGTGTAGAGTAGTTGACTGCAGAGGGGGATTTAATTGAATTTAGGATAATCAAGTTATATTTACTTCCTGCTCTATTAAACTTCTATTTCCTATGTCATTTTGAAAATGGCATATCAATATAAGGTAGTGGAGACTACAGTGCTGGTTCCCATGCTGGGATAAGCCAGAAGATGGGTTGCTTAAATAACTGGTTTTAAATAACTGACTGAAGATTTTAAACTTACCATGTCTTTATGCAGTCCCATGAGGAAGCAATTACTTTCCAACCTTGAAGGAGTTTGAACAAATATGTAGGATAAAAGTGAAGTTTCAAGATGGGGTAGGAAGTCACGTGCAAGACAAACCATTGGACCCAGAGTATCAAAACATTTTGTTTCACATGGCTGGATGCAAACTTTCACAAAAGGTTTTATGAATGGAGCAATATCTAACTCTAGTCTGTCTGTCTAGGCTTAGTGGTTGCTTGTTAACTAGAAGGATCTCTGATTTTAGAGTTAATTATTGGCTATCATCTGATCTGTGAGTTCATAGTGTAATATTTCATCACCAATTTATTTTGAATAAGCTTTATATTATGAGTAGAGTCTTGTTTTGTCAAATCTGTCAGCCCATAATTAATTCAGTATTTCAAGAGTTTTGATGCTGTACTGCAATGTTTTAGGCTTTGACTTCTTGGTTTTTTTTTTTCCTTTTCTCTTTTTTCCTGCCTCTTCTCCACAATAAATTACTCCATAGAGAAGCAATTAATCTTCTTTTTTTCTGGTCTGACCTGTTTGGCTACCTTTTACTGCCAGCAAAAGTATCATTATTTCTAACTAGGGCTTCTCTTTGTAAAGTGTGGTATAAAATACATATTAATGTATTTTCATGTAATTTATTCATATGTGATAAGGAAATAAAAAAGGAAAACCTGCATTTTTAGTGGCACTGAAAGCCAGTGAGAAGTCAGGAGTATTTTTATGGCTACACTGCTATGTAAAAACAGGAGCATAAAGACATAGGACAGTTCCTTCTGAATCAGACAGCTGCACATCTATCCTACTGTTCTGTCTCAGAGGCAGTAGAAGGTGCTGTTTACCCCATGAACCTGGCAATTTTCCATCTTCTATTTTCCCGATACTGTCCCAGCACCCAGGATTGTATTAAAGAGGAGTGCATCTCTGATCCATCCTTTCAGTATCTACTTGGACATTAGGGAGAAATTTTGGACATCAGGAAGGATTTCTTCATTGAGAGGGTTGTCAGCCATTGGAAAAGGCTGCCCAGGGACGTGGTGGAGTCACTATATCTGAGAGTGTTCAAGAAATGAATGGACATGGTACTTAGTGTTGTGGTCTGGTTGACAGTGGAGACTGGTCAGAGGTTGGACTCGTTGATCTTGGAGGTTTTTTCCAACCTTTTCCAACTCTATGATTTATGAATTTATTGCTTGTAATTTTTCTAAAACCTTTCTGAAATCTGTGAGATCATAAGCATCTGGCAGGAGAACCTGTCAGATGCCCTTTACTGACTTTTAAATTACGCTTTCTTAAAGTGCTCTCTCTTCTACCAGCCCTGTGCTCATCTTCTATTAGTTCTTGCATTTCAGGATTTGGTGACCAACAGTTCTTCAGTCACTTTATCCACTACCTTTATGTTTCTCTAAACGCTGACATCTTGTCCCTTGGCCTCCTCATCTCCAAACTAAAAAGTGCAGGCCATTTTAATCACTTCATAAGTCCTTTGATCATTTTTAGCTTCCCTTCCTTGGACTTTCTCTAAATCTATGAAAAGGAGGGGAAAGAAAAAAAGAACAAACTAGAGAAATATGTGTGAAGTGTTCATATAGGAGTTCTCACAGAGGCTGTGAAAAGCAAGCATATGGGACTTTTTTCTCATTTTATATTCAAAGTTGAGAAAAAGAAATACATTGAAACAATGCGTCTTTTAATCAATCTTCATTGCTAAAATAAATTGAGATGACACCTCAAGCTGTGTTAGGAGAAGCAGAAAATGCAGAAGTATAAGTGTGGAGGAATGAAAATTACTGAAAAAGATGCCTGGTGACATAATATCACAAAGTAACAGTCATAAGTAAAAGGAGAACAGTAAAGGAAATACAAAAGTTAAGGAGAGCATTTTCTGCTGCTCTGTATTCTTCCCATTGTGGCCTGACAATAGCATCTTCTGATGAGATAAACTTTTTTCAGCAAACTGTTGTATCAGAATTGTACCTCTTGATAAAAACAATACTAAATGATTTTACTTGCAGTACATAATTATTCCTTCTTATGGTTTAAGTAAAACTGAAAGAATGATTGGAACTTTTTAGATAGCAAAAGCAGGGTGTGGAGATGACATCCGAGAGCAAGGATTTGCAGAAAAGAACAGAAAAGAACAATAAAGAACATTTTGGCCTAGCAAATCTTATAGTAATATTATGAGACACTTGTACAAACTTTTTATGTGTGACACCATTGAGACTATAATTCCATATTATGAAAATAGGAATTGCAGGAGAAGAGATGATGTTCAGCTGGACATTAGTCAGTCTCATGCCAGGAGCTTTAAGAAGAAGGGATAATGGATGCAAAGTCCCCGCATGTAGCAAATGTTCAGAAGTTCAAAAGACTGATACCAGGCAGATTTGAATGGGACAGTCCCTGAGATATTTGAGCTGTGTGTCAAGGGAAAAAAAAAAAAAAAGGGTTTTGTAGTTTCATCCAGTCCTGAATTTCTAAATATTTGGTCTTTGACCTTACAGATGCTAAGCACGACTGTGTTGTCCAGCCTACAGTGTGCAGTGTGAAATTCTTTGAATCCTTCATCCCTTAATGATGCTTTTAGGATTGCCCAATCATATATATGAAGTGATGAGACTATCTGCTGAAGTACTAACAACTTTGTCAAGTTGTTCAAATCTTTTGCTGGCAAACATTGTTTCTTTTAAAGGTCTTGCATGACTGTTCACTACCTTCTTAATATTAAATACTATTTCAAGCAACCCTAATCAGACACCTTTGTGTGCTGTAACATTGCCTGATATGAAACAGTCAGCATTTTATATTTCTCCGTCATTATAAGTGCATAGATTTTCCATATGTCTTGATACCTATTTACTAAATAGCAAGAGAAGCAGATTATTTCTTTGCCTGAAAGGGGCAAAGCACTAGCTCTGTTATGAGAGGCAGGCTGAGTTATGGCTTTATTTGGATTCCAGTCTGTTAGTTCCTCTCCATGAATAACCAATTATGATTCATCTTTCCAAATACCAGTTATTTCATAAATCCTGTTGGAGAGCACAGCAGTGTAGCTAAAGTGCTGTCATGGAGCTCTACCCATAAAGTCACTGATGCAGTTATAATATATCTGCACATAATTTAATTCCCTTGTTGCATGTCTTGAAGGTATGCATCTCTGTACTCTCACATTTAAAATCCTTTAATTAGGGATGTTTTTCCTTGTCTCTTGTATATATTTAGAATTCTAAACAGGTGCTGTTTTTAAGGTATTCAAGGGATTTAATTGGGCTCTCTGTTTCATATAGTAAAAGCCAGATTTGGTCTTCAGAGACCTCTAGTTTCTATGTCACAAGATGATTATTTTACTTAGTCATTATGATAACAGGTCCTGAAGTTCTGGCATGTCCTGGTTCTGCAATAATTTAATAATTTCCCTTCCACATTTGCTTTTGCAAGATGTGTCTGTTACAGAAAGTGATTTCTGCAGTGTCCTGAAAGAAATGAAAATGTTAGTGTTCTCCAGAATTTGAAGGAGATCTTGTGTTCTCTCAGGACCCAATATGCCCCACTCTGCTGTTGCTGCAGCCCAGTAGCATATTCCACTGTATTCCACTGTTCAAACATATAGCAACAGGAAGCAAACTGAGCAACTGAAAATGTGCTCAACATTGTGAATTAGAAATTTGTATTAGGGTACCATTTTTTCAAGTCTGAAAGGTTAAATACATTTTAGTATAAAAAATTGTGTCAGAAATAAAAATGTAGAAGGCTGTCTTACTAAATAAGAAAAATTAGGTTAAGAAAAAGAATGTTGTAGGAAAGAAACCTTCATTGCACTGCAACATTAGGAAAACTGGAGATAGTCAAATAGTTCATAAGCAATCTCAAGTCTAGTTAGTTTAAGCAATACCTACAGTGAAAGGGATTGAAAGAAAATATCTGGGAAAACTTGTTTGCATTTCTCACAATAAAGTTATTGTTTAAAAATCTGATTTATATATTATAAGCAGGCTGATCAGTGCTTATCTCAAATATGCATGGACCTTAATCACCTGAAAGTTATAGCAAGATTCGCTTTTGTTTCAGTAGGATAATAATCTTACCTAACAAGAGCTAATGGTTTGCTAGCCCATTGTTCAAAAGTCAGTATCTTAACTCTCTGAAGGCTAAACTTTTTTGCCTTAGCTTCCAGATAGCAGACACAGTGTGTGCTGCTACATGTGGAGTAAGAAGTTAAAAGCCAAATGTTTCCTTTATTTAACGACAAACATTAATGTTATGAAAAGAACAGCCAGTAAACAGAGAAGACAACTTGTCAAACTTAATCAAATTTTGTATTGAAGCTGATCTCTCATTACTGCTATTTCAAGTGATTTGGTGTTTCTGAAAGAATTTACTGTGATATGTTGCAACACAATTGCAGATGATTTTATAAGTATTCACTTAGTGGGATTTACAGGAACAGTACCTTTCTCTTAGCTTTGAGCTGCTCATGATATTTGTTGGACGTGTCGCCTGGTATTTCTCCTCCCCAGAGGGTAATTCCCACCATGGAATAAGTGATGCCCATGACGAGCAGTGGGAAGCAGTAGACCAGCACAATCACAATAACATGATACCTGCAATGAAAAGATATTAAGGTGGTAAGTGCCTTCAGAGGAGCTATACCAATGGAATGGGCTGCTAGAAGTCAAGACTTCTATTTTGGCACAAAGCATGTTTTATATTAACTGGCTAGTTCTTGGTGTTTTCACTGTCTTTTTGAAAGTCTGGAATTGCACTGCAAATTTATGTACATTTTAATGCATGTGCTCTAATGCTGAGCTTGCACTAGTATATTATGAGTGACTCTATAGTTATTGTGATTAGTGACTACAGAATAAGGTGGGTTTGTCCATAACTAGCTGAGTTGATTTAATTGCACAACCAAGTATCATGAGGGAAAGCTAGGCATTTGGTGCTCTAGTCTGGACCATAAAACAAAGAGGAAAGTAAGTATTTTAGTGATATATTGATGCAAAAACCCTGATAAGAGCCCTATCACCCACTGTTCTTCATGTGGCAAATCTGTTGCATACAGACAACACAAATCTGCAGCCTGTGTGCAATATAGTCACCACTGCTGATGTCAGCACTGGGAAAACAAAGACCATTTCTTTTGCCTCTTGCTAGTTCCTGGTTAAATGTCAACTTCAGATGAAATCCTACTGAATGATAAGTGAAGGATCCCCAACTGTCACTGAGAGTGACCCTCCTGCCCTAAAGAGAAATGTCTGTGAATGGCTCCTAAAGTGATAAAAATTATATGTGACTAGGACGTCTTTCACCTGCCTCATAAAGAGCAAAAGGTCAAATTTGATTCCAGATAGTTACACAGACTTTCAGCCTTGAATGCAATGTTTTTCTTAAATGTCAGTGATGACATGAAAGGACAGATGCCTAAGTAGCCACTTATTCCTAATTCTACCAGAGGGACAAATAGGATATATTTAATTTAATTGACTGATATTCTCACTTTCAGAAAGTGGAACCAGTTACAGGTTATCCAGTTTTCTCTTTTGGACTAATATCTGACATAAGTAACAGAATGAAGTGGCAAAATTCAGCCTTCCCATGAAGAAATCTAGAGAAAAAAAAACTGTTTAGGGCCTTCTCATTCTCTACAATTACCTGAAAGGAGATTGTAGTGAGGTGGATGTTTGTCTCTTCTCCCTAGTTACAAGAGAAGAAATAGCTTCAGGCTGTGCCAGGGAAGGTTTAGACTGAATATTAGGAAAATTTTATTCATGAGAAGGGTGGTCAATCATTGGTACAGGCTGCCCAGAGAATCAATTGATTCCCCATCCCTGGGTTTACTGAAAACCTGTGAATGTGGCACTGAGGGACATGAACTAGTGGTGGACTTGGTAGTGTAGGGTCAGTGGCTGGACTTGATGACCTTAGAAGTCTTTTCCAACCTAAATGATTCTAAGGAGAGACTAGAAAGCCTTTTTTTTCCTGGTTAGGATAAAGAGGAAGCTTGCTTTGAATTGCATGTTATGTTTCCAGTTCTGACCATCTCTGTCTGTATAGAAGTAGTGATCTTATGTGCAGCAATGATGGTAAAAGTGCAGCAAAGGAGGGAGAGCACTCAGATGTCTAAGAGAATAAATTTGTTCTGTTTATCACACATAATGCTTTATCATCCGTAGAAAACTGGCTCTGCATTTCTCAGTGATCAAAGCTGTTAGTTATTCTGTGTGTAGAGTATCTGCACAATGCCAGAGATTTTGCCAAGTCCATTGCAAGTCTCAACACCACCATGCACAAGTTTAAAAGAACAAAAGCTTACGTAAAATGCTGTTTTGGACCACCTGGCCATGCTACATAGCAAAGAGTTCTCCCAGGCATCACCTTGGTTATGGAGTATAGGCACTGGGGAAAGGCCAACAGGAATGCCAAAATCCATATGCTCCCAATGACCACCTTGGTAGCAGTTGCAGAGAGCCTAGGTTTCAAGGGATCAATAATGGCCATATATCTGTAAAAGAAAGCAAAAACCCCTGTGTAAGAACTCTTCAGAGATTCACATGCATCTAGAATCAGCCTAAGCTTAGGGTAAAAGTGGAGATAGTTGTCTTCCTGCAATTCTGATGTCACTGTGCTCTTTGTGTGGTTCTGCTCTGGTGAGGGCAGCACTGAAAGGAGAAGCAGGTTCGTTGGATATTATTTTGCAGCCATGGGACACCCAGTTAATCATATGTACTATCAGTAGAGAAACTATTTTGCAAAAAGTTAGACAATACTGTTACTGTACAGCCTGATGGAAAAGCACAATGCAGCTGAATCCTCTGTTACTCTGCTAGGTCATACAACATTTATTTCTTATACAAAATTTTACAGCCAAGCTGTCAGGATTATTTGTCATCTGTCCCAAAGCTACAGGAACCTGATAAGTCCACATGCATTTATTTCAGTACAGGGAGATTGACTTCAGATTGTCTGCCAAAGAACACCAGAGATTGTGTTCTGATTCATACAGAGAACTGAGAGAAGAGCCAGTTTAGAACTGGTAAAAGCATTAAGGGAAATAGATGCATAAAGCAAGAAAACATCTCATTTGCCTTCTCAGTTCCCATGCTCCCAGGAAGGATAGCATTCTTTGTCCTGGCCCATAATTGTATTGGCAATTCAGGTATGCTGGTAACCTTAGGAGAACATGCAAAAAAAGAATCAAAATGTTTAAGTAATTACAATTAAAAGTTTAGAAAAAAAATCAATGAGAAAAAGCATCTAAACCGACAGTAATAGAAAAACAAGTCTTGTTTTCTGTTTTTTGATCTGTTACAGATGCAAGGAATAAGGGAGACACAAAATTTGTATCAGTCATTTTTTGATGAATATCTTGTGTTTGCTGCAATTGAAAGACTCATACTCATTTCAAATAAATGGAGTAATATATTTTAATTGTTACGGTACACATCTAGGTTCTTGGCAGACTTGTCCAAGGTCTTTACGTACAGACATTAGCCATGAGTCAATAACAATAATATTTATAAGATAATGCTCCTGATAAGAATTTGTGCAAAAATATTTTACATCCATATTTATGTGCTGTAGTACACAAATTTCACTCAAGATAGTCTTATTTTTTTGGAAATTTTATCTTTGACAGATGAGTAATTACAGAACAGATATTTGTTTTAGCAAAGCTAACTCCATTTATAGTTAATGATAAAATATGTGATAAATCCAACATTGGTCATAATAGTGCTATGCCTTTTCTAGTAGATATAACTGCCCTAGTATCTTAAAACATCTAAGTGCTGTCAGAAACAGGGAGTGATCTAAAACAGCTTCAGTTCTGAATCTTCAATTTCCATATCTGGAATTTCAAGCTTGGTAATGTTTTGGTTTTACTGCACTTTGATACTTTTTCTCTGTAGGGTAATAGTTAGTTCCCCTCTCTTTCATGTGCCTTAGCTTTTTATTTCAGCTAAACTGGTGCATTTGGTATTACATAGTATGAAATAGTTTTGCGTGCTGGGTGTCTTCTGTTTCTTGAGAACGGCAGTTGGATTGTTTCCCTCTTCTACCTAGTTCCTTTCTCCTCTGAAGAGTAAGTACCACTTGGTAAAGAAGTCAGGTTTGTAGTCATGAGCCCTGTCTTTCAAATTGAGCTGGCTTTTGTGTGGACTGCCAAGCACTGTCCAAATATTTGAAAATCTTTACTTATAGTAAGTGATAAGCTGTAAGCAAATAATAATTTTCACATGCTTGTGAGACTCTTGAGGCATCTCCTTCTAGCCTGGAATCATTCCTTCAAATTGCTAGTTTTCTTCAGATTGCACATTGCTATTATTTTATGTGCTATTGTCAGATTTCTATTACATTCACGTTATTCTTATTCCCAGTTATATTAATCTTACTCCCAATAGATACCAACAGTAGTTCTTGTTGCCTAAGATAAAATTTGGTTGTTTTATCTCCCTGTCTGCCCTTTAAAGACATGGATTGTTTGGGTGAAGTGACTCATACAGCTGTACTGATGGAAATTTTAACAACTGGCTGGCTGAGTAAAATAAGTCAAAGGCCAAGGATCAGATGAAAAGAATGCTATTTATCTTTAGAGTTCAAATTTGAATGATAAGCCAACTGCCTAGCTATTGCACAAGATTGATTACAAATATGTAGCAGGCAGTCATTCTAAGAAGCAAAATGGAAAGGAAGTAGGGGAACTTTGACTATTCCCTCAATAATAGCTTTGTGCTGGATAGATTTAGTGGAGAGTATTGACAGCTCTGTTACAGAGCCTTTGATAACAAATCTAAGTTATTCTACTTTGAAAGTACACTAACAATTACAGTGTGTTCTGTAAGTGTAAGTTCTCTAAGTGGCTTTTCTTAGAAAATTGCTTCATTAACATAGTGAGATATTGCTTTATAACTGCAATTATTACATTCACTCAGATTTGTCATGCATGTTTGGTAGCATTTTCCTAGGGAACCATCATTGCCACAAGTAAAGTAGAAAATGTGGATTGAGCCTTCATTGAAGGTCAAGAACTACCTCCAAGTTTGAACAGAATCTGGATGTTATCTCTGTAGCCAAAAGAAGCCTTGAAAAGAAGTGAGTTCTTCCTGCACATTTGCAAAGGAGGCACACAAGCTCCTGCTTATGATTTTGTTTGCTGTAAATGTTATCTTGCCATTACAGGTATCTAAGGGTAGTTTGTCTATTTCTTTAGGCTCAATCTGAAGTAGCGGTCACTAAATTTTTGGTTTGCTCTCACTTTTGATCTCTCTCCATTCAGCAAGGGTGCTTCCAGCAGGAATGAAAGCTGCTGCTAGCACAGGCTAGAGGTTCCATGCTTAGGTGTTGCTCAGAAAATCAATGAGGTAAAGAGGCTAAGGATAGGATAATGGGTATGTATAATAAGCATATTGCCCCTAAATATTATAATTGCTCTGTATGATATCCTTACATCTATTAAGGATGGAAAAATGCCAGTTACGAGGGGGAAGAGTAGACATGCTATCTGAATTGTGCAGTGAATGGTGCTGAACATGGTGTAGAAATATAGGAAATGTTTGAATAGGCCAGGAGTGAAAGGGAGAATGATGAGATATATAGGATCTAGCAAAAGAACTGAGACTAGGGAGCAGTTTGTTGAATGAAAAAAATAGGAGTGAAAAGAGAAAAATGAGAAACTAGTAGGAGAAGCAAAGAAAGGAGAATTGTAGAATAACAGCATATAGAAATTGTGTTGAGAGAGGAGAGAATAAGAAAGGAAACTGGGGGTCATGTAAGAGCAAAAGACATGACAGAAATCAGCCCTAGTGTAGCAGAGATTCCAAGTTAAGTGGATGTGGTATAAAACCAGAACATTTTGGCAGGGTGGCTTGGTGACAAGCCCTTCTGCCTCTGCAGCTGTATGGGAGAGATCTCCCAGAGAGTTTTTCTCTCTGTAATCAGCCAACTATAAACAACATGCAAGGTGAACAGCAGGACTTCTTGGGTGCTCCAATGTTATCTGTCTTACAGACTGTTCTGCTACTCCACGGTTCTTTCAAGTAGTCTGAGCTTCATCATAGAATCATACAATAAGCTGAGTTGAAAGCAACTCATGAGAGTCATTGAGTCCAACTCCTTACCCTGCACAGGATCATCCCCAAGAATCACACCGTGTGCCTGAGGGCGTTATCCAGCTGAGACAGGCTGTGCTGTGCCCACTGCCCTGGCGAGCCTGTTCCAGTGCCCAAGCACCCTCACAGTGAAGAACCTTTTCCTGATACCTGAGCTAAACCTCTCCTGACTCAGCTTCATGCTATTCCTCCAGGTCCTGTCACTGGTCAGGAGGGTGAACAAATCACTGCCTGTCCTTCTGCTTTCCCTTGTGAGGATGCTAAAGACTGCAGTGAGGTCTTCCCTCAGTTTCCTCCTCTCTAGGCTGAGCAATCCCAATGACCTCAGCCACTCCTCATAAGACTTCCCCTCCAGACCCTTCTCCAGCCTTGTGGTCCTCCTGTAGATGCTCTCTAGATAGATTAATGCCTTTATGTTATAGCACCCAAAATTTATGCAGTTTTTCTGAAGCCAGTGACAAATGCAGAAGCCCTCATAGGTTCACCATATTCTGTGATATTTATACGCAGACCTTGTACCTCTCCACACCTCCTCTCCAGGGACAATAAAAGATGGCAGGCATTTGAGCTGAAGAAGGATTTCTAATGGCTACAAGCAACTGAAGCCTTGTTACACCACTGAAAAGCATTCTGGAGCCACACAGACATTTTTTCAGTGGGGTGCTGTGACAATTTGTTTGCAGTCTTTGGACAGTTACTGTTCAGTCTGTCACCAGGCTTGAGCAGTGTGGTTCCCTGCTGAATAAAGGACTCTGAACTCCCACTGAGGTGGTTTGATTTAAAGATGGGCCTTATAATGATTTCTCACTCCAGTGGGAGCTGCTGATAGTGCCACAGATAGCTTATTCTACACAACAAAGCGGGGATATAAAATATACATTGCTGAAAGGAATGAACTCATAATGCTTATTTATCATAACAAGCAAAAATTATGATTACCCCACCCAACAAAACATTTATACTTGGAAAATAATTATAAGATGGAATATGCATGTTTAGAAATGCAGGGATGGAAATATGTACAGGTAGAATTCAAGCCAGCACTTCCAAGAATGTGGATTTCTCAACAACTGCAACGTGTTCTTCCGTGTATGACTCCAAAGCATTTTAGATAGCACTTTAGTTTCATATGCACATCATTAGCACAGGATTTTTTTGGTGGCCATATGACATCTCACTGTCATCACTTCTCTTACACCTTTATCTTGTGTTAATCTTTGTCCCTAATTGATTACTACTGAAGTCAGCAAGAGTCTTTCCACTGAGTTTAATGAGAAATCATTCAGGCTGCATGATACAATGGCTGGTGCATCATGGTGTACTTGCTGCTGCACTCTTTTCGTAGCTGTCAGAACAGATCCAGTTCCCTTCTGAACTGCTCTGTTTGTCTAGAGTC